ATTTAATTCTACGACTAGTACGAGTTACTTTTTTACACATTGTGATGAAGTAGACTATGACAAACTCGAATTTTAACGTGCCGCCATGTTGGGTCTGCAGTGAACCTTTACCATGTTGACCTCATTATGCACGTATTTCCACGCCCACCACATTATAATAAGTGCATTCATAAATCTTTAATAGCAATGAATTTCCTGCAGAATAAACCAGTCGGGGTGATTTCGCGAATTTGTTTATTTTATTTAAACTACAAAAACAAATCAATCGCCCCGACTGCGCCAGTCTACCAATGTCACTGTCAGTACATATGACATCGGGGAAAGTCGAGTTATCAAAATATGAAATTAATAAATATTTTTCAAACAGCATTTCAAAAATAAACTCTGCGATTTTTATTGACCTTGTACGTAACGATATGAAATCATCATCATTAAAATTGAGAATTATGTGAATTTGAACCTCTCCCTCTTTAATCCTTTGTTTTACTCCCTTAATAGCTTCGCGCATGTGCTGGTAATTTGCATACCACATGTCAACAGTAAAAATACATGGGCGCTGTTAACTATTCATCTCATCTCAGAGTCTGTTATTCATTTTCCTGCTCAAAATGGTGGTTAATTGTGTTGTCGTGTTTATTTGCTTTCTATTTTTGAAAGTAATGGAAAACAAGCTTCACACTTCCTTCCAATCTGCTAGCAAGTGCAACTTCTGTCTTTTTGTTATGTTTAACATGTTAATTAATGAACATCAGAAGTAGTTAATGTGAATCGATCAGTATAGGTGGGATTCCTCCAGCATTTCGGTCAACCCATCAGCGTTGCGTCATAAATTATAGAGTATAGAGGCCCCCGCTACGCTAATACGCTTTGGAGAGAACACTGCGTTTATGGATAAACCTCTACGGTCTATGGTTTATGTTGTGAGTGAAGTGACAAAATTGTGGTTCATGTTTTATATTAAAATTGTCACTGTGCGATTTCACCTCGGAGGGAATGTAATACATACATCAGGGGGATGTCATGTTTTGCAACAAGTTTTCTTTTTTTTAATTTGCTTAAATAAAATGATTTCTGTGCTATGTTCTGCAGAAAAAGTTAAGAGCACAAATTAAAAGAATACAAATTAATATCTGTTTATGAGCATCGGCAATTATTGGGATACGTTTATTAATTAGTTTGTTAAAATGAATTGGCAGTGAATTCATATACTGCAAATTGGTTGCTATGGCAGAAATATTCCATATCTCAAAATTATGTTTGGTCATCTATACTAAAAAAAATGTAGTGTTATGAGGGCTACATAAGGCTGTCACTAAAAATTGGAGATTTTGGTAGTATAGCCATAGAATAATGTGCTTGCATGGAATCCTATGAAAAATATACGATCCCTTTTTAGATTATTTTGCGTATGATTTCTTGAAAACAAATCTTTCTTTTTCAGTAAAAACTTGCATATGCACAAAAATGTATGTGAATGATTACATAACAATTTTTGAATGATTTACTGTGATCATTTTTTATGGTAGCGAACTACCTTAGAAGAGTTTTCATGTTAACACTGCTGCAAGACATACCTGGTGGGTTGACATACTCTTCACAAGAACCTAGAATGACATTCCTTTCTTGGTCTGTACAAAGAAATGTTCCTATAAGTGTTCTCCCATCTGTCATACATATCCTGAGCCTTCTATTTAACCAGGATTCCAACTTCTTCCTTAAGCATGACTTCTCTCCTTCCTTGGCTGATTCAATCTGGAAACAGATGGAAGCTGTTTAGTAGTTATAAAATACTTTAATGACTGGTAGAATTAAAAGACCAATCAAGGGAACACTTTATGAATGTTTGGGCTTGGTCTTGTGGTACAGTAACAATTTGGTCCACGGAGATGGAGTGCCCAGACATGTGACGACTGAATTTTTATGTTTTGGTCAGTTTAGACAATAACACATTCAAGTGGAAAACTGCTGATTGCTGAGTAGAGATTCTAAATAATAACAATCATTTATTTTTTTACCTCAGGGATTCACCAATCATGATATTTTATTCAAAATGACAACTAGTGTCATGGGATATTTCTAATTATTTGCTATGATAGACTATTCAAGCTAAAATATTAAATATTTGTTTAAATAACCAAAATCGTAATTTGCATAAAATCACCGTGAGGTTTCTTGGTCCATGGGCAAAGTGAAGTGCTAGTCTAAAGGCGTAAAACCAATATATTTCTCACTCTTACAGACTCTGTTCCCATTTATAAACCTGCTACTGAGAATAAAATCGCAATCGGTTTTGGTGGTTAAAACAACAACCATGCACAAATGTGATCATTGGTAAAAAC